AAACTCAGAGCTTAATTCAGCTGTCATGTGACACCCCCGTTTTCAGAGCACGCGTTTAATCAAGGCGCCTTCTCCAAGAGTCGCGTTGAATCTATTCAACATCAAGGCACGTTGCGCGTCCTGAAAGCATTATTAGTCCCTTTGCATTCGTTCATTACTACAATCGTATCCGATTTCCGAGCTCTTCTCAACTATATTATACACAACTACTAGGTAGATATGTCGCTAGCGCACCGAACCCGAGGCACTCAAAGTACGCCAATAGATGTAATAAGATTGCAATTCTATACACTGCTATTTCTTTCCATAACATACGTTCTTTATCATGTGTCACATTCACTAATCGCCATATTAGGACACGCATCATCAATATTCTTAAATATCATAGGCTCTACATATTTCAAACGAAATCTAGAACTATCAGGCCCGATGAAATCCATCATCGCGTTTGTTTTAAAACGGTCAAGTGCGAGTTGGACTCGCGCACCATTCTCTGAAAAAACGGCATAAAAATCACGTCTGTTGTACGGGAGTCCCACTTAAATATTTTTTTATTGTTTTTTAATATTTGAAAATTTCAAACGTCTATCCATCACGGTTCATGAGACACAGCCTGTTGACAGACGCACAGACAGACAGCGGAGTCTCAGTAATGGGGTCCCGTTTTACCCTTTGGGTGCGGAACCCTAAAAAATATTGCGATGTACGGTGTGCGCGAAACGCGACGCTGTTTCGACTTGCAGCCTCGCTCAGAGTTTCAGTTCAAATTTCAAGTTCAGTTTCAACAATACGAGTTGGCCAACGTCGTATAATTAATTTCGCGATGTTACACGCGGTATGTTAACACCTAAGTGAGTACACACCGACCGTGCACACTGCGTTCAAAACTTTTAATTAGTTGCATCCATACATACAAACTTTCGCCTTTATGATATTAGTAAGGATAAACTATACATCATAAAGATATACCGTGAACGGCTGGACAGATTTCACCTATTTGTTATTATCAGAAGGTCCTTATGACAGAAAAAATTCAAAACATTGCCTGTCTATAAACAACACTTTTCTATATTCCCATACATAAAATTAGTTATAATACTTAAAAGTCAATTTGAACTTTAATACCATAACATAAAATTTAAGTGTTAGTCGAGGGGTTCCGGGAAGGCAATCAAGTGAGTGACTGTGGTAAAATGTCACTTGAAATGTAAACGTCTCTTTGCTGTGCATCACTACATAGTATAAAACAAAGTCGTCCCGTTGTCTGTCTGTCCCTATGTATGCTTGGATCTTTAAAACTACACAACGGATCTTGATGCAGTTTTTTTTACGGAGCTGGCGGTTCACCTGATGTTAAGTGATAACCGCCATGGGATTTTGCAACATCCGTGGAACTGCAAATGCGTTGCCACCTTTAAACAAAGTGGGCTCCGGCTACCTCACCCACCAGACGAAACGCAGAAGTGTAACACTTCTACTTTGGCCGGACGTGCCAATTCGTGCATCAGTGAACACTGTTGCGTGGCCCTACCACAGTTAAACTTTCGCTGCATCGCTAATAATGAAAAGGTATATTTGTAAATATCAAAAAATGTTGGCAAGCTGAAAATTTTCTATAAATTTTAATGTTTTTCAATGAATATATTGTAAATAACAAGAGTGATTGATAATATCTTTATTTGCTCTATCTGTTTGTGGATGCCGGAACGGTCATTCAAGGTAAATTTAATTAAAGTTGAAATATGAATGTCAGTGTCTTATTCCGATGTCAACTGAAAGTACCGCATTTTTAGGGTTCCGTACCCAAAGGGTAAAAAGCGACCCTATTATTAAGGCTCCGCTGGCTGTCTGTCTGTTTCTCCGTCTGTCACCAGGCTCTCATGGTATCTCATGAACCGTCACGGATAGACGGTCGAACAACAAATAATTAAAAACAGAATTAAAAAAATATTTAAGTGCGGTATTTAAGTCCCATACAGCAGACACAGATTTAGTTTAACCCCTCGTGCGTGAGCCCGAGTCGCACTTGGCCGGTTTTCTCGAGTTATGCGGCTACTTAAGCCGAACTGCTTAATTCTAAGTTAACGAGTTATTTAGTTATTTTAAAATCGTATACTTTGTGAAGCAAAGCACTTGGCCGGTTTTTATTAAATGTTTGTTGTCCTTTAGATATTATATATAGTATACTCATTCGGTATTCAACACTTTAAATAAGGTCCAAAAGATTTTGTTAAAACTGAAAAATAAACTTAATACTAAAAATTTAAGGACACTGAACATATTATAAGTTCAAAATATTTGACAATTGACACGAATTCTATAACATTATTTATTTCGATTGAATTGAATGTTGAATTACAACAATACCAGCTGTTAAACTAGTGACATAATTTTCCCGCGTCAATGCCATCTTCGGTTTGTAGTAAGATGAAGTTCAAATATCTGTATAGAAGCATTACATTACTTATTAATTTTCAAAACGCTACCATCATTCCAAGATTGATTGCGAGGTTTTTAATGTTAAAATTTGGCTGACATAAAAATCTAAATTGTTTAAGCTAGCGATTAGTATCGTTAAGGCAGCGAGCTGAAAGTAAGTGTAATTGAAAATGCCACGGGTGGTTTGCAAACACGTGCAATGAAATTTCCACGCTGCTGCTTCATTTGTTGCCAGAATATGCAGACTCGTGCGGGGTACCACAAACTCCTGAAGACTGGTTAAATGTCGAGCTGTTGCCCTTTTGATTTCGTACGGTGAGGGGGGGTAACCGGGTCACACTGCTTTAAGAAGTTCGTGGCGGATGAAAACAACCGCCGCGTCTATCTAATTTAGCGCGCAATTGCAACGGAGTCGCCTCTGATTGGTCGGCGACCGGGGAGTTCCCTCTGCCTCCACGCTCGCCGCTCGGAACACTGCTGTCGACTTGTTTTTAACGATAATATTGTTCTAATGGTGAAGATATTGTGAAATTATCTAAAAATCCTTCTGATCAATACAAATAACAGTGAGAACATTCTCGCGTTATATTTGATGGCATTCCGCACACATCATGCCATAAGTTATTACACGTAAGCACGTAGGGAAGTCGTTTCTTGTCTATGCCAAGATTGTGAGTAAAGAAGTCTGAAATTAATTAAAAGCTATAGGGCCATTTCCTGAAACTGCTGACTGACGATTTAAAAAGTTTTCATTCACTGCGAAATTCTAATTTCATAGAGGAATTTTAAAGAATTTCAGTCTGGGTGTGTTGTTTCGTCTTATTCTCCTCTCGATTACTACTCTTGGCACATATACGGCACAAATATAGTGATGCAAGTGCATAGTGATGCAACTTCAAAAAAGGTTCGACTGTATTTATTTTTTATGTTTGTTACCACAGAACTTTCGAATGAGTGAATCGATTTTGATGATTCTTTTTTTGTTCGAAAGCTGGTGCTTCCCGTGTGACTCCATATTAATTTCATTGGTATTGCATAGGAACTCCTGAAAATCAATTATAAAATGAATACAGAGCGAGATATTTAAAGTCGGTTTTGTTTTTCGTTAATAAGAACATGGACTTGTTTTGCAAGGTTATTCGTGACAGGCGGCGTCCTTTTACTCCGAAGACCATGAGAACTGCATATTCATAGAGCTCAGAGTTCCATATGTCTTTCGTGTATACATGTAAAGCTCCAACAGTCGCGCGGGTGCCCTCCACCATCTTTTTGTTGACATTTCCTGCATTAGAACTAGGAAGTTTGCCTCATATTTTCCAAAGCGAGCGGAAAATGAATAAAACAATTTACACGTGTATTTCATTGGCTGCGGCACCGGGGATCGAACTTAGTTTGCCAGAGTATATTGAATTAAAGGTGAGCGCCGTTACAATGAGCTAACACCGCGGTGAAGGAAAACATCGTGAGGAAACCTGCATATTGTTTAAATAATAACAAAAGAAATATTTCGAAGATATGTGAAATCCGCCAATCCGCAATGGGGTCGCGTGGAATATGCCCGGATGCCCTCTGTATAGAAGAGGCCTTTGCCCAGCAGTGGAGCATTTATAGGCTGTTACTTTACTTTTTGCATTTAATACGCGCGCCCCTTTTGATGTTCGTCCAGTTTTGAATATGACATTCCCGTTAGACGGTTGCATGGTTGATCCGGTGATCCAGTGATCCTTATGAACTTTTGGCCTATTTAAACACCAAGCTCAGCGCCGCTGATAAAAATGTTCACACTATTATGTTATTGTGACTAGAAATCATGTTGCGCTCTTAGTCTCGGGGCAACGGCTATATAAAGTGTGCCTATTCTTAATTTTACGTAATATTACTAGTGTTCTCCTCGCCTTATCCGACAACGGCAAACCTGGCTTTAGTTTATTTGCCCGATTGTGGCTTGCAATGCCGAATGGTCCTATTGCAAATAATGTCCTATTGCAATAATTGTTAATGCAATAACAGCCATGTCATTCGGGAATAAGGGAACAGTCGTAAAGGAAAAAATCAAAAACGGTTCTTTTAAGAATTACTTAAAAATCACGATTGGAAAATATTAATTTATGTCCAGTTATGGAACTGAAACTCGATCTCCACCTCCAGTTTAGTATGTATTTAAGTAATTTTAAGTAAAGTGGTGCCATCTATTTTTACGGGCTCGTAACATAGTTACGAATTTTTGGCACTAGATGGCAGAAATCAAACAAAAAATTAAGTGAAAAATTTTTCTTTTTAATTTTAGTCTTTCTGAAAAAGGTAATAAGTTGGAACATTTAAAGATAAGTCATAGTGGAAGTATACAATTATTTAAAAGCAGAGGTATTCAATAACATATTCACATAATTTTGGTAACGTTATGTGAAGATATGTAGGATAAACCGCTGAATAATAAGGGCAATGATAACAACAGTAATTTATTATCGTGTATATTTTGTATATATTAAACTCGTTACAAAACATTAAGTTTTTACGAAAACAATTAATAAAATTTCCCTAATGATATGATCGTTTTTTCATACATATTTGCCCAGAAGTATTCCAAACTTGTATTGTATCTTGTGTACGTAGACCTCACCAGGATTAAGCACGGAGTTTGGGAAGTTTTTCTATGGCATACAAGAATTTTCGTTGTAATATTCATGTTAATAAGTAAAAATAACAATTGTGAACTGCATTTTAAGTGCTGATTATGACGAAATCAGTTGTAAAGGAAACCATCGTGAGGAAACTTCAATATTTTTGTAATACTAAGAAAAATAATATTGCAAAGGTATAATAATGAAGTCTGCTTATCCGCTATGGGGTAGAGTGGCGGATGATGCCTTAATACCCTGTGTCTAAAGTTCGCGTAAAAACAGGAAATCAAAATATTATTTACTAATCGACCCATCAAAATATGTTTCTGTGTGTACACTGCGAATACGTCCGTGAAAGAGTTCAGTTGTCAAGTTGTCATAAGTGTTACGGCTCTAGTAGCGCCATCTGCAGTAGCCGTCATCTTTATATCACGTCATTTCCAACCAATCATCGGCAGCGCCTCTGACGTGACACTTACTGATCCAATCACATTAAACTATCTAAATTGTACCGTTTCCTTTGAAACTTGCACAAAATCATCGTGACATTCTATCGCTAATTATACAGCAGTGAGAACCTACGAGTTGTTTTGGATTTTAATACCCGAATCTTCAACAATAAGCTCGCTCACATGGTTGATGGCGTCGGGATAGTTTTGTGGCAGTAGGCAGAAGAGGCCGTGTTTCTTGTACAGGGTCCCCCCTTTGCCGGTCAGCGGTACGTAGCCGTATTGCTCCACGCCCTGACGACAAAGCTCAATATCGTAAAACATCACTGAAAAATAGTGTGTACGCTAATAAAACATGGAAGCCTCAATGAGTGTACGCTAATAAAACATGGAAGCCTCACATACAAGTGATTGTTAATACATAACACCACAACTCTCACTGATAGTTCACAGTGAACTTATTTGTTAGTTCGACAACAGACTTCAAATTTATCGAAATTGCTCGCCTGAGTGTCTCCGGAGCCCAAGATACCCAATACCAATGAAATTAACACGGGACTACGTGGAAGCACCAGCTTTCAAATAAAAAAAGAATCACCAAAATAGGTTCACCCTGTCGAAAGTTATGGGGTAACAAGCATAATAAAAATACAGTCGAATTGAGAACATCCTCCGGTTCTCAATTCGACTTCTTTCGTTATTTTGAAGTCGCTTGATGATTTTCATGCAGTTATCGGCAATAGATAGGGTGGTTAGGTTAGGTTAGGTTAGGTTAGGTTGCTAGTAATATATAATTTAGACGAGCATAAAATCAAAGGCGCTACAATAATGCAGTGTCACCGTCGATAATGGGGTCAGTCACCTCGCTTCCAGCTCCACTCGCCTCGTCTCCATTCTCTCCATCATCTTCTTCACGCAATTCACTGCCTTCGCTCTCGCCCTGCTCAATGCCATCTTCTTCGTCCGCGTTCAACGCGCCAGGTAAAGGCTTCGAGAGAAAAAAAAATCATAACTAAGCTCGCACGTGTACGCAACGCTCGCTCGCCATTTATGCGACATTTAAATTTAATCAGAAAAATATGATAATTTACATTATAGTGATTAGTCCTCCGTGTTTATTATAATATAAGAAACGAATGCGTTGTTCTAATCTTTATTATAATGGTATTAGCCCTCTAGGGCATATTTTTCATTGATTCAGTCTTAATTAGGATTAAAGTACTTATAAAAATACGGCTCACTCCCAAAGCGTCGGTAAACAGAGTAATTAATCTTTATTAATTAAGCTAGAAAGAATTGATGTGCCAAAAACTTACTTACTTCGTATAATATTAAATTAGTAAACGCTATGATGCATGAATTGATAGTATATTTAGCGGTTCAAATAGAATTTCTAATTCATTCATAACACTGTCGGTATAATTACTTTTCATAATAAATATAAACAGCTTAAAATATTTATCAAAACTTCACCTAGGATTGGTTACGGCGCCATCTATCGACCTTCTAATCTCCCACAATATTTGGCATTCGTCAGTGTATAGCAGGACGATGACTATTTTATTTTATATGAGAAGATAATTCATCGAAGCTAATTATGTTAAGTACACCAATCAATAAACTACTTTACTTTGTTTTAGTTCTCTCATTTAAATCAATAGGATTCTATAACCGAATTTCATCAGCTATTATCCCAAGGAGAGAAGTGTATAGCGTAATTTTAGTATAATTATTATTTATTTAATATGAACACTGGAATTGTGTCAGACATCTCGATGGAACTCGATACATAACAATGGTAAATATGGACTGGTCAGTTTGTTGCAATTGCAACAGTCTATTTAGTAACGTAAATGACACCACTGATTATATATCTATTGTAATTTTACAGAGATAGTAGCAATGATCACTATGGCGTTTGGGCTAAACTACAGCGCGTACCCACCTCGACGATCTTCTCGGGATCAGGGAGTCGATTCCCAGTGTAGAACTGCATCCCTGGCTGGTTGCTGTACACCTCCAAGACTCGACCGGTGCCGGGGTGGAGAGCTCTGTAGCGATACATTGAAAACCTTGACTTTATAATTAAGAGACTCGACTACCAGCTGTTCCGGCAAAAGTTATTTTCCCATATAAAATATTATCGTTAACACCCCCCCCCCCCCCCCCAACACCACTTGTGGGTAGAATTTGGTAAAATCCGCTCTTAGCTGACCTCTACTCGGCGCAAGGAATATTCCTACCAAATTTCAAATCTGTACGCCTTAAATATGATTCCAGAGATATCGTGAAATCTCTTATATATATATATATATATATATATATATATATATATATATATATATATAGATTACGATTACAGTTACCGGTTTTAAAAACCGAAGGAACACTAATGCCCTGATCATCGTAGAAGTCAACTAATCAGCTGTTAAATGGCTTTTCATGTTATTTGAATTGAGGGCTCTAAACGCACATAACTCATGCACATACCTGTGAACGAATGCTGCGTTTCAAGAGAACATTTTCGATTTGCATCGACGGGACAGTCCGCTGCCATTTCCAGTGTGACTGTGACCCCTGTCAGGCAATTTCAGTGTGACCCATCAGGCAATGTCAGATGGCTTGGCGTCTCTCACCTGGCGTGGAAGGTCAGATCCTGCGCGGTGCCCTGGGTGATGCAGAAGTTCACGTCGTAGCCGCCCATCGGTATCTTGGGCAGCATCGCTTTGAGGCACCTCGGTACTCGGAAGTCGTAAGCAGTGCCGCCGACCACTTTCTTCTCCCCTGGAATGGTACAACAGACGCGTTGACTGCGGTGGGGCCACAGGCCACAGCCGCGGCAGCCCTCGCTGTCGCCCGATTCCGGCCAAGTACCGCGACCTCACAGAACACCGGCGTGGACTGGATGTGTTATACTTCTGCGTTTCGCCCCGTGAGTGAGGTAGCCGAGTGGCTAGCTTTATTGAAAGGTGAAAGCGTCTGCAACCCTGCGGCGGCGGGTTAACGTCGAGTGAACCGCTGGCTCACAAGTGTATACATTTTACGTGTGCGTACCATTTTTGTACTGTAATGATAGTTTTTTTCTTTTTTTCCTCCTTGGCAAGATTCCATTAAGCAGAAATACTCTAGGGTATTATGATATAAAAAAGAGTAAAGTAACAGCTCATACAAGCCGTTAGGCTGGTGAAAGGCCTCCCCCATACCGAGGGTATTAGAGCATTCCACGACGCGAATGACTGCAGGCTCTCACAGGCGGACTTCACATGTGTACAAATAAGTTTTTTGAAATAGTATCGAAAATATTCCGCTTGCTGTGCGCCGAGCACGTGATAAGTCAGTGTCCGGGCACTCACCTTTAATTTACTACACTCGAGCAACCTGAGTTCGATCCCCGGTGCGGGCACCAATGAAATTGTTAATTTTAAGTGCTGATTTGTCCCGTCCTCAGCGGTGAAGGAAAACATCGCGAGGAAACATGCATATTTTCGAAATGATAATATTTCGAAGATATGTGTAGTCCGGCAATCCGCAGTGGGGCCTTGTGGTGGACTATGCCCTAATACCCTCTGAACAGAGGTCTCTGCCCCACAGTGGACCATATATAGGCTGTTACATTAACTTACGAATATTTCTATATTCTGATCAATAAGAAGATCATTCTGATCAATTTAGAGAGTAACAATCCTTTTAACAACTCAAATGGCATTAGAAAAACCATTTCACATCGAAATAATTAACCTCTACAATGATCAGTGTTTCAGAAATCGGGCGTAAGTGTCATTAAGTTATTGCTTATGTCACCTGTCACCAAACCTTCATCGTCCACCTGGGTGTACTTGTCAGCATTTATCGTGACGATATGCTCGTACATCGACTCCGAGCCATTGTGCTGAAACACAAAAGAATTGATGACTTTAATTTTATTTTTATCATTTATATTATTTATTTTACATTTTTTTAATATTATTAAAAATTAAAGAAAATGCAAATAAGGATGTATATGATGCAGATGGCTTAAATCGTATTTCATGGCAGTCTATGAACATGGGAGTGGCCTCCTATGATCATGTTTGGTAATGTATTGATCATTTTCACATATTTCATATTCATTTTATATGAGAAAGTGCCAAACAAGCTGATGGTTCACCTGGTGTGAAGTGATAACCGCCGCCCACGGACATTTGCAACACTCGTAGGGTTGCAAATGCGTTGCTACCTATAAATAAAGTGTGCCCCGGCTACCTCATACACCAGACGAAACGCAGAAGTGTAACACTTCTACTTTAAGCCCGTCTTCTGTGAGGTAGCAGTATTTACCCGGACGGAGCTGCCCATTCGTGCAACAGCGAACACTGTTGCGTGGTCCTGCCACGATATTCGATAACGAGGAGGCGGGAATCGTGCGCCGCCTAGCGTCCCCATATATCGCGAAGTGCCGTTCGTCGTTGACGCAACAATATAGAGAAACACTCACATGCCGTTTTATTTTCCATGGGAAAAGTCCTTCATGCTTCCCCTGTCACTGGATCGGGGAAGTGACAGGGGTGTGTGGGAGTCCCGTAAAAGACGGGTACCCACTAAAAAACCCACGTTTCAACTTTCTCTGTCGCAATCTTCCGCGACAAAATAAACATCCAACCGATGGAGGTTTGAACTTGGGACTACAGCAACAGTTTACCGTTGTGTTCATGTGGCTCGGGCCATAGGCTACGCGAGGCTACACTCACGTGGCCAGCGAGGTTGAAGAACTGCGCGTTGCTGAGGTTAACCACCGTCGGCTCGGTGGTTGTGCACTTCATCTCGATGTGGATCGTGTTGTCGCAGGTGACCTCGAAGCAGAGCTGCGTCATCAGGGTGCCCGGGTAGCCCTCGTGGAGGCGCTCCGACACGTGGCTCATGTAGACCTTGTTGCCGACCACGTGGGAGCGCCAGTTGACCTGCCCCGCCGACGGAACGGACGGTTGTAGACGTTCAAATCAAATCGAATCAAATCATTTACTCGTCGAGATATGAAATGTACATTTCATCTGTCGACAATTTTTGGAATCTACCGCCGTTTCGTAATGAGGTTCCTCTAACGGAGAAGAAGCAGGCGTAAACTCCGTAGGCTTTTGTGTCATTTTTTTTCTCAATCAATTACATTCTTGTACAGCATCTTTCCAAATGCCCGCAAAAGTGTTAAACCTGTGATGGGTGTAAGTTGCGTCAGAGTCGATTTCTGGCGTGATGCGAGATCTCGAGAGAAAAGATTTTATGACGCGATCAGAAGCCCTCTTGTTGTAAAAATAAATCATTAAATAACACTAGGGCTCCTAACTATGGCACAATAAAAAGATTACAAGTTCATTAAACATTTATTAATATTACTTAGTCCAACAATAGTAGGTAAGCGTTAGTAACGCCTGTAAAAGCAGGCACTGTAGATGCTCTCAAAGCCATGTAATGATTAAACGTCAACGTCAGATATCATTCACCGAAACACAAAGTGCAAATTAAATACGGACGATGAGCAACGCACACATACATACATACATTTGGGTAGGTGAAAATAAAGAAGAAAGAAGAAGTGTTTATAATGTAAACGTGAAGGTCTGCTATTGACAAACTACTCGCAAACATCGCAGAGTGCGATGTTAGCGAGTAGTTTGATTTGAGCGTGACGTAACGAACGGGTAAATATGTAAAGAGTCTATTTAAAAACGAAACAATTAGTTGGGGCGAATGCGGCCATTATTATTGGGAGACGTCTCTCCGCCGCGTCGCCTTTCACCGAGACGCGCGACAAAGGCTGTTCGAAAGCGGTTGTGTCATAGCCGAGTGTTTAGGAGAACGCTGCGTGGGAGCACGGACGATTGTTTGAGTGACATAATGATACTTTGAAGAGCGCGCGTTTTAAATAGAAATTACTCGTAAGTGAACCAACAGCCGAGGGCGTGTGTGGGCCAAAAGGCTTCGAGAGCACCCAGTGTTTGGATACCCTCGTAGGCTCTCATTGGTGTAAGATGGACGGCAATACCACCGGTCGCGTTTTGGGACTTAATACGATTTATCTGAGCGGCCCTAGCCATCTTTGACAACGCCTTTCGAGTCAGACGGCATTAGATCAAAGCCTTTCTCATATTCAACCGATTCAAATTGATAGTGAAATTGGACAAATTATTTTACAGAGTAAATATTGAGAACGAAATAACTTGCACCTATTACTTTAAATTAGCTAAACCACTCGCCACCTAATAAAAAATATGTCAAACATGTGGTGAGCCAAGCGCCATAAATAACTGACATAATCTACGAAAGAGGATCTGTCTTTGACGAAAAAATAAAATACTTCGACATTATGTGCCCCTAGTTAGGGTAATGGTTGGGCTAGATAGGGTTGCCAACCGTAAATAATACCGTGTTGTACTATATTTCCGATCTGAGTTCTGTATACTGTTGAAAAATGTATTGTACGCATAAAATAGTACATTTCAATAGGATGAACCGATATTCATTTTGCAACATCATCATATTCCTCGCTGATAAAAAACAAAAATGTACTAGTTCATGTCTGTGTATATAGCATACTAGCTTTTCGCCCGCGGCTTCGCTCGAGTCTATACCCTTTAAGAACCCTTTACAACCCTTTTTCCGATTAAAAAATAGTCTACGTCCTTCCTCAGGCTCTAGATTATCTGTGTACCAAATTTTATTTAAGACGGTTCAGTAGTTTTGGCGTGAAAGCGAGACAGATAGACATTTATAATATTATAATATGATACATTCGCATTTATAATATTAGTATGGGTTTTATCATGAGATGAAAAATACCCTAATCTACCGAAGAAATATTGGCAATCCTATCCGTAGTTACTCGATACGAGCTGCAATTGTTTTTGCTCTAAAGAGAAGACGGCTGTTGGCTAGAATATTCTTGGTTGGTTGGAATTAACTACTCATTAAACTCAAATACAAGCTATCAAACGCACTGTGCACAACTTAAGTATTTAATATTATTAATAATATTATGAAATATTTATTATTATGTAATATTTATTTTTTTGAGTATAATCATAATTAAGTTAGGCATTTTTTGTATTCACTACTGAATTAATGCTTATTATTATATTATAGTTAATGTTTTATGCATCGCATTTTTAAAACTAATGTATACTATAATAAAAATGTAAATGATCGTTGTCTGTGTATGCAAGATATTTGAGAAAAATATTATTGGGGGCCTTTATCAACGCAACAGAACCCAAAACAATGATTTTTTAAATTTTTGTCCGTTTATCTGTTTGTCTGTGCGTTTGTGCGCGCTAATCTCAGAAACGGCTTAAGCTTCACTTAAGATTTAGTGTTAGTGTTATTTAAATCGGTTCCTAAATAAAAAAGTTATACATTTGTGCGATAAAATTCTATATAATAGCTAAAGTTGAATTGGATGAAACTATGGTTCTATATGTTACTAGCGACCTACCCTTCGCATGGTCGTAATGTATTATACATATAAACCTTCCTCTTGAATTACTCTATCCAGTAAACAAACCGCATCAATATCCATTGCGTAGTTTTAAAGATCTAAGCATACCTAGGGACAGACAGCGGGACGAATTTGTTTTATACTCAGTATGTAGTGGTGGTCTGTAAAATGATGATGATTCAAAGTTTATATAAGATTAAAGAAAAACGGCCAAGTGCGAGTCGGGCTCGCGCACGAAGTGTTCCGAAGGTTCCTTTTGAGCACAATAATGCATGTGCTATGCAGGCGGAGCCGCGAGCAAAAGCTAGTCAACAATACATGGTAAGTAGTTAACACTGGGTAGCCATCACATCGGGGAAATTAAAAACGTCCCTGTCGCAGGGCTGATCTGACCACTCCCAACCACCTATTCATACTACAGTTGAAGGTCGATGGCTCACATGACAAAAGCCGCAGCCGAAAAACTCCACAGAACCAGGTAAATTTTTGGAGCATACAGGGGTCGAAACGCGACAGTTCTCGATACGATTTAAACCACAGTACCATCAGCGCGGAAAAACGAGGGGCTTAAAAGTTTTCTTGGTAAACGCGACAAACGTGGGTGTTCTATAGGTAGGTGAAATAGAGATTTTGCATTTCTGCCATGCAAATAATTCCAGTATTCTCTCGTTCGAATTATCGTTGTACAACGTTATTTGATTTTGTTTCTGTGTTGTAATGGACATAAGAATAGATGTGCTAAGCATTGCTTAATATGCGAAAAAATTATGTAGACACAAGTAGAATCTTATTCTTGTATATATATATATATATATATATATACAAGAATAATATAAAAAATATATAAAATCGTCAATATATATAATCGGAATCTCAGAAACGGCTCCAGCGATTTTCATGAAATTTAGTATGTGCGTTGATTCGGGGGCGAAAAATCGATTTAGCAATTAAGCTAGGTTTCATTTTTAGAAAATGTCCTTTTAATATCATTCAAGTATGGCAGTAAATTTCGCCGCAAAAAAATGTTATAATAGCTCGGTAGGTAATCGGGCGGCCGCAAAACAGACAGCCGCGGTTCGTATCACGATCATTTACACACTTATTTTTTTTTTTACTTTTTTTATATACCAGATCATTCTCTTTATTTTTTAATTTTTTTATTTCCAAAATACATGATTTACCAAAAAAAAACTCAAAAAGGTCCTACAGGTACTATATTTTAAAAAACTAAAAAACCCGACTGCGTTTCTATGTCATTTTTATATACCTAGTGTCACTCTCACGTTAAAAAAATCTAACGACACCTCACAAGCTAAAATCCATCAAGCCGTTCAGGCTGCAGATCGTGCCAAGCAATTATACATACATAATTTCGAAAAAAACATAACCCTCCTTAAGCCTCAATGTTGCATGAATGGGCAGGCTCGTCCGGGAAAGTAGGTACCACGACCTCACAGAAGACCGGCGTAAAATGGAAGTATAATACTCTCGCGTTTCGTGTAATAAGTGAGATAGCCGGAGCCCAATTTTCGAAAGGTCGTTAACGCATCTGCAACCCTCGGGTGTAGCAGATGTCCATGGGCGGCGGTATCCACTTAATGTCGGGTGAACCGCCTACTCGCTTGCCAACTTTTCACAAAATAAAAATGTGTACTATTGTCGCGGGCGTCGCGCCACTAAGACCGATTTTCCTTCGATAACTTATTTATTTTTAATTATTACTAAAGATTTGCTGGTAGAGAATTCCGTTTAGGGTTAAGCTCGCCTTTGTACAGTCTTTTTGGTAATTCCTTCGTTTGTAACCGTATTCCTTTTTGTGTACAGAAAAGAATTAGAAAGATAAAGAAAGAGCGTGGGAGCGCACGGTATGGCTTCAACTATACCGTCCACCATGATCACCTTATCGAAGCCCACGAATCCGCCGTTGAAATGGTCGCGCCCCCTGTTGGCGGACAGCATGTAGACCCTGCCCGCCGGCCGCACCGACATTGCAGCGCCGCGCACGTAGTTGGCGCACCGGCCTATCGTCGCGCCGAAGTAGGGGTTGCGCGGTTGGAAGTACTCTAAGTGAGGATTGTATTTGTATAACCGATGTTACGCTTCAGTCCTTAGACTACTAAAGCTTCGCCGAACGCAGAACCGGTGGGCTAGCCAGAGCCGTACGCCTACAGGCCATCGAGGTCCTACGGGCCATCGAGGTCTAAGTGAGGAAGCACACGAGAGAAAATGAAGATCAATAATATCGTCGGAGTGTCATCGAATCTCATCGAAGACACGTACCTGGAAAAAGCCGGCATAAAGTACCGCATTAGACACTTACCTTTGTTATTTTTAGTTATTTCAATGTACCACCCCGGTCCAGTCAGCCCAACCACCCAACGGCAGTGATAAAACCCAAAAATATGGCAGCTTTCTTTGCCCTCCTTCTCCGTATAAGTAAATTATAATCTTGCCAAATTACCCCTCCGTCCGCGTAATTTTCGTATAAAGGGGTAGATAGTTTTCGTTTCACGTATAAATACATTGATGATTGGTTACACAGGTAACTCTAAAACATGGAACTATGAGCAAATCGTTGTCAAGTTTAAAGTTCGGGCGTGACTCATTCAAGTTACAGCAAAGCTACGCGATACCCCAACAAACTGGTGCAAACTTATCACTTTCTCAAAAGACAATTTTTCAAATGGTCATTTTAAAAATTTTGTTTGAGAAAATATGTTTGGTGTAAAGTAAACACATTACATGACTCCAACAAGCATTGATAAAAATGCACTAAAGACAATGTTTATAAGTCGTCGAGATTTTCACGCCTTAATGATGTCAGCCGGTAACTTAGATGGCTTGAGCGTCTGGCGAAAACTTTTGTCTACACATTTTAATTTTCATCTTAAGCGCAGACTCTTACTAAGAAATAAAAAAAAAAACTAAATTTGAAACATGTAGTTTTTTAAATATATCGTTAAATTAGATGTTATTATACAATAATGTTGGTCAAGCTGGTTCAAACTCATCCTAGGAAAAACACTTGGACCCGCCAGAACAAAACCATGCTTGCAGATACGATAAAGTAAAATCAGCAGTCTGTGGTAGCTGTTTGTATAGACGGGAACAGTCCAGAATTTACTGGGGAAGTATTCAGAGGCAGTTTAAGTTAAGCTACTGCATATTATCACAGATTGTGCAAAAGATCGATAAGATTGGTAGTGTTTTTGTTACAAGCGGCTTCTACATTCTCTCACTGTTTTTTTATTCCTCTCTTATTATGGTTTTTTTCGCCAAAAATAGTTATCCTAACCTGTTCTACAATTAAAGCTGAATCTACTCCCTTACCTTCGATACTAAAAAAGGGTTATGATGCAGGAACATACCTTCCAAAGTGTCGAAACCGGCTGTGATGTCATCAGGGACACCTTTTTTATCGGGAACTTGAATTGACGTTATTGTTGCGCCATACGTAATCACCTAACGGAATAAATAATAAATCGAATGTAAAGTTATTATCAACCATAGTTTAAGTATTTTTTTATGTGTGAAAATATGCCAAGCGAGCAGACGGTTCACCTGATGTTAAGTGAATACCGCCGCCCATGAACAGCCGCTATACCCGAGGATTTTAGATGTGTTGACAACCTTTTTAAAATTGGGCTTTTATGTATGCATGCAATGTTGAATAAAAAAAATCGATCCGACCGATCACAGCGTAGCAAATTATTGATACATGTAAAATACGATTATTGTATTTTATATGAATGAATATACTTTATTTAAAAAGAATTTAAAGGAATTTTACCACTTGCAAGAATTTTAGAATCGCATATGCTGATCATAGGCCCGCCATCTGGGCTGATTAGCTTTATCAGCCTTAGTGTAAAATTGCAACATTAAATTTTTCCTCAATGGCTATGATTTTCTACCGATTAAAATATATGTAATTGAAAAAGATCATGTTCTTAATTTGGTAATTAAATAAATAATTTTCATGGCAGTGGGTAGGGTTGGCTTTATAGATATTACAACACCGCAGTCAGGCCGGCCCTTTCGGGGATACCACGGCGTCTCGGAAAACCAGCGTAATTCGAATTATAACACATTTGCTTAGAGTCTGGTGAGTGAAGAAACCGGGGCCCACCTTTTTTTAACGTTTAAACGAACTGACGGTTCACCTGATGGTAAATGAAACGCCCGGTCTTCTGTGAGGTCGTAGTACTTCCCCAAACCGAACCGCCCATACATGCTGCAGCGTGTACTGTTGCGGGGGGCTACCACAGAAAAAAAAACTTATTTTACTTATGCTCTAAGAGACCTGCACAGTCATCCTGTTCTTGGTCTTCCAGGTGAACCTCCTCACTATGTCTATGTTGGTGCTTGACATGCACGGGCTGCCGCGCGTATCCGGCGACTGGGTCTCCTTGGAGCCCTTGGAGAGCTTCCTGGGCCTCAGGTTACTCCCGGAGCCGTCTGGAGACTTGGGCATGAAGCCGAAGCCGTCGACGACCAGCTCCACGTCGGGGACCTTAACGGGCGCCGGCTCAGGCTCGGGGGACACGGTTTTATCGGACACGACGTCACCGCTGGCCCTCTCTTCCATTTCTTCGGCCATAGTCACCAGGAATTTGGAACTTTCTATTCTTTTTTTTTTTAAATGATTTTTATGAAATTTTGTACGAACGAAAAATTTTTACAGTGACAGTGACTTACATGCCATTTTTTTTCTTAAAATTGTTGCAACAGACGCTTAAGCATCTGGAGTCTAGGTGGTTGCGATTCGTCAAAAAGGCATAGGAAATATTTTTAAGGTAATTTTTTTTTTAAGAATAATCATTATTTAATTTAAGAAAAAAATTACTATTCCTGTTTGTGGGAAAGATATTAAAAGAAACCATGGTCAATAGTAAATTTATTGTGTTAAAATTGCAACACCGTAAAATTTACAAATCACATAATATAATAAAAACGCATTTCATTGAAACTCATGTAATATTTCATAGTCCCTTTCGGACTCATAATCGGTTTTAAGACGTTAGTGCTAAGGCAGTATAAATAGGTACAAATCTAGCGTAATTGATATTTGCGTAAATTTATCACCGACTATAGCCAGTGTCTGTTGTTTGTACGCTGCGACTGTTCAGACCCAGAAAACTCTGACGCTGTGCTTGTCTAGTTCTATCGCGTCGGCCTTCCACTTCTCAGTACCCTCGGACACGGTGGAATTCTCCAAACAGCCGATCTCCTTGCTCGGTGACGGTGGAATGATGCTTATAATCGGTATTCCGATCTCCTGGAATGAGCTCATAGATGAGAATCCGCTTTCGTCCTCTACAAAGTTAGACACGGCGTTGTAGTCGTTCAATTTGTCAATCGCAAGCGACACTTTAGTGTTGGGCGACCCCTTCCCCCTTTTAGGCTCACCGTCGAGGATGTCTATATCAACGGGTGTCTGCTTCAGCTCGCTGGGATTGGCCGGAGGGGACGCTGAACGCTTGTCGCAATTCGGGCCATCGTGTTGAACCAGTTTGTCCGTTACCCCGTTATAAGGCCTCAGATCGTCAACTATGGAATTACGCAATTCTTCTTTCTCAAAACTTATCGTAAGGGTAGACAGGTTTAATGAGAGAGGTCTTTCTACACCACTGTCCACGGACCTGGCTTCTGAATCATTGACTTTATCGACACACGTACACGCGAGGTCGGGCAGTTTGGTGCTGAGAACCGTGTTGGCAAGAGTGATCAGTCTAGACATTTCCTCACTTATCTTTATAGAAGTTTCGTGTTCGGACACGAGGGATAGTTTCGATTTATTCCTGAAAAAGAATAAACATACCAATTTATACATATATTAGCCTAACAGCGCGAGAATTTTAAATTAATTGACACTCTTAGGACGGTTAGATTTATTGTACAATAATATAAGATCAAAATCATCAGCATTGTTTCATTAAAACTTCATAAATAGACTGAATATTCATTGCGAAAATAAAATAATGTTTCGCGTCCATTAACTAAAGAAATTGCATTACAAATGCGCAACAGCAATCCAAAATCAGGCCCACTTAGCTAAGATAGATAGCCGTTTAGTTATTAAATATTTCGATTACAAAAAAATATAACAATAAATGTAGCGTCATAATAAAATCTCGTATTGCAGTTTCAACAATTAAGACTGTAATTACCAATGGCTGTTGCAATCTTTGTATCCGTTTACATTGCAAATCGACTTGCTGATCTTCCTTGTGCTCATTTTCTTGGTGGGCGTTATGGCGTATTCGATATTTTTGTTGACGTGCAACACAGAACGGGACCGTGGGATGTCGTTGAAGTTGAGGGACCTGGCGAGTGCCCTGCTGGGGACGTTCTTCCGCGTCACCTCCTCGTCCCTCTGTCCCTCAAAGTGCTGCTTCACTCTGTTCAGGAAAGTCACTATCTGCTTAAGTAAAGCTATGTGCATCTGTCTGTTCGCCTCAGTCTGAAAAGAATCACGCGCACATTGGCAAACAACGAAAGAGCATCGATTGTAATACGTTAAAAGATAAATGTACAAAAACTCGCACGCAACGCACAGCCGATTCGCAATGAAGCAACGCACTGTTAAATGAGAAGAGCACGAGGAGGGAGAACAATTTATCGGTGCACCAACGCATTCGCAAACATATCCAGAAAGACCCGAGTACCTGGGCCAGTTGCCACCTCAAAGTTTCCACTTCCATGTGCAGAACGTTAAATTCCGTCGTCCGTATGTCAGTGTTCATCTTGTGATGCTTGTCCGGAGGCTTCACCGCTTCGCCGCTCTGCTCCACGTTATCGCTTTTCGAAAGTTGAGTGAACAGCTCAACCCGTTCTGGAGCCTGCAACGAGATGATAATGACGAATTAAATATCTGTGCCGTCCGACGGTGGGGCGTCGTTAAGTGGAGCCGACGTGAACGATTTCGGATCGAGCGTGTGGTAATTTCACTCAAATTGTTGCCGGATCCGCTATTTCGACGGCATAATCATGGGAAACTGTGATGTTTTCGAAAGCTACATTTGAGCGCCATCTCGCCAGCCTGAATTGCGTCCCGGGCGCATTCTAGCGCGTGCATAGACGTTCGCGTTGCTAAAACAATTCGGCGCTCTCGTATTTGTTTGGCATTCATTTATCAAACAAACATACTTGCGGCGGCCGCATTAAGCGAAACCCGCGAGCTGTATGAGCCATACCTTACATAACAGAACACCGCACAAAAACAAATCGCAACGGAATTCTCGTTAGCGACTCTTTTGTGCGCGCGCAAAAACCGGCGCCCAACGTATCAGATCCACGGTGTCAGACCCATCCCACGCTTTTGCTGAGACGCAGTCAATTAGACCTCCATGCGAACAATGAGTAGTGTTGCCAGCCACCCGTTAACTATATCAGGGCGCCGAGCCAGATCATAGGATAGGAATAGGCTGGTTGTGCGGTTATCTTCTTAATAAATAAAAATTATTATAGCTCAAGAATTGCTGGACCAATTCGGCTAATTTATTTTTTGTATGTTCCTTAAGATCCACGGAAGGTTATAATAACTATAAAAAAAACGTAGTCTGTCCGGGCGGCTAGTTGAAAAGCCGTCCCCGAAACAGAAGGCCGCGGTTCGTATCACGATCATTCACACACTTATTTTTTTACTTTTTTTTCTATACCAGATCATTGCTTTCTTTATTTTTTATTTTTTAATTTCTAAAATACACGATTTACGAAAAAAACACCGAGAAAAGCTCGGTCCTCCAGGTACTAATGTATAAGGACGGTTATTATGATGCAGTGCAAATCTTATCAAATGATCTTTAATACTGCTTCCGAAGGGACTATAAACAAATTGCTTCCATTCAGCAGAAAACAGGTGCTCTGTGAATCAATTTGAGACACTTATAATATTCAGATATTAGGCAAACAAAAATTTTATACTTGCTATCTTTGCTCGCTTTTCTTGATAATTTAATTTTCATAATTTTCGAATCGCAATAAAATATTTTAATTGATGATGATATTCGTCTCTCTTATTTATATTATGTTCCAGTAGCGATAATTTGATTTTTATATTAGAGGCCGCAAAAGCAAAATGCATATTTTCAAAAACACCGTAAATTCTTGTCTAATCTGTATGAAAAGACAGGTACGATTTGAACGACGAACGTTTCAAATAGAATGTAATCACTGCGTGGGGTGGTCAGTTTCTTGACGCATGACTTAGCGGAAATCGTATTATATTGGGATATCTTGCACCATTCCATGTACTTTTTTTTATGTGAAAAGTTGCCAAGCGAGCTGACGGTTCACCTGATGTTAAGTGAGTACCGCCGCCCATGGACATTTGCTACACCCAAGGGTTGCAGATGCGTTGATAACCTTTTGAAAATTGGGCTCCGGCCACCTCACACACCAGACGAAACGCGAAAGTATTATACTTCCACTTTAGGCCGGTCTTCTGTGAGGTCGTGGTACTTACCCGGACGAGCCTGCCCATTCGTGCAACAGCCGAGGCTGCTGCGTGGCCCCACCACCGGAAAAGTACTATGGGGGTCGTCCTACACTGCTATACTATGTAAAGACCTACACTAAATATATGATGTAAAGCTGCCACTTGTAAAACTATTCCTCATCGGCTATCAATTCTTCGTGGCAAGTATGCGGGAAGTCGATGGAAACAGGCGGCTCAGGATCGTGCTTTGTGGCAGTCTTTGAGAGAGGCTTAAGTTCTCCAGTAGAATCGAGCAGGCTAAAACGATGTAAACAATAATGATGATCTTGCAGCATCAAGATTTTAATTTTTTGGTACAACAAATTAATTTAGATGCATTGATTTTTCGTCACATTATGTAGTTAGGATTCATCCAAAATATATCTGACAAACATTTTGTTGGATACCATCAGTCAGTTTCTTCTTTAATTTGAGATTTGGAAAGAATATAAGTTGAGATGTAATTATCTAGTGTACTCAAAGTATTTGATTCCTTAATATTGGTACTTAATATTGAATTATTATGAAAATTAGGATTACGAAAAATATAGATAAGCTTTTACTATTATAGACTCATCTGTTTAAGTTCAACGGTATGTATACATGATTAATGAGTTATACACGCACATAAGAAATTCCAATATGTGAGCAATGTTTGACTCTAGTGACGGCTTCCGTTCCTATCCCTCTACATTGCTCTATTGTTGGTCGAAGGTGAATACACCATTATTTACAATGAAAAGAATTCCGATTGTCCATCCATTTCGTAAATATTTATTATGAACTCAACAAAGCAACAAGCGCATCAGAGGTAAAATATTTCATCAGCGACGACGCCATAGTTTTGTTTTGCCGACGTGCAATTCTTTTCGTATTCTTGTGTTTGTAACAGCATTGTTCAATCAGAAGTTGCGAGAACATTCTTAAGTAGGTAATCAATCAACGATACAATGATACTTCAGTAGTATTCAATTGTATCTCAAACTAGCGTCTTATAATCTCCGCCCGGGTAAATATTATAGCTGGTGCTACTTGATCCATACTGCTATACTATAGATATTATTCAGAAAAATCAAAAAAAAAAGCATTGTGAAGGATACTAGTTTCGAACAGAACCGTGTATTCGATTTTAGGGTGTAGAATATTAAACAATGGTTCTATAAAGTGAGTTGAATATAGTGAGTAGGATTGGTTTCACAGATATGAAATATGAGAGGCATAAGACACGCCGATGCCCGGTTTCTGAAACACTGATCACCGTAGAAGTTAGCTAATTAGCTGGCAAATGGCGACACGGCGCGTAGCTGGAGTTGGCAACTCGAAGCAGTGGGCCATTCGTGCAGTCTGTATAATGTTTCATTCACAGAACGCGTAGAAAGGCTACAGTTTTCACGGTCGCGATCACGACGACACATGGACATGCGTATATATTTAACAATCCAGCATTGAGTTCCGCGACGTACAATACATTCAAAAGTGATGTGAAAGAAGCTTTAAGACTAGATAGTAAGATATAAAGGAAGGATAGCGCAATAATATCTCGACGTCTACGGTTAGGAAGTCACCGTAATTGTGCCCTGTAGTCGGAGACATGGTCAAATTATTATTTTTTCATTCATTTTCATTTCGGAATCCTACGAAGATCGATTAAAAAAAGTAAAAAAAACCTATACATAGGGATGTGAGCCTCTCCTATACAGGGCATAGTCAGCCACGCAGCAGCACTGCGGTTTGGCGGACTTCACATATCTCCGAAATATATTTTTTTGTTATTATTTCAAGTTATTTCTGATTTTAAAATATGCCGTGTGCGTGATAATAAGTCAGCACTGAAAATCAACAATTTCATTGGTGCCGGCACAGGGGATCGAACTGATTGCTCGAGTATATTGAATTAAATCCGAGCGGCCGGACACTGAGCTATCACGGCTGTAAGATCGATACAACGAAAGTCATACCACAGTTCGGTAACACTGGGAAAATATTCTATTCTTCGAGCGTCGGTTTTGACTTTCGTACGCCGCTGCGCTGGCAGGCCGGTCATCTCAAATGACCGCGCCGTCTAACGGCGAGCATAATCTCAATTACGCTCGAATTAGGCCGCTTTGAATATGTATTCATATCGAATTACGGTTAGCCGTGGTTCGCGGCGGATGTTCGAAAGAGAGTGCCGTTCGTCATTCTGACGCCCACATTAGAAAGGGACAGAGTGTGAAATGATCGCGAGATCTAATTGAAAACACCCGCCAGTATCACACCGTGTTTCGGCATTAAACTAACAGTACTTTTGCACCGCTAGAGATGCGAATCGGCTTTCTTTTAACTTTTTTGTTATTACAACTCTCACTGGTTAATTTAAGTTAATAATTGCTGCCATAGTTATCGATAGCTATGTCTATAGATAGGTTATAGCGCATTGTTAAAAGTCCGTTACGTTTAATCTTACTAATACCTAAGATGACCGCTCTTGTTTTCTTATCCATGAGTGGATTTAGGAGTACTAGAACTGGCTCAAGAAGAACTAGTGGATGCGTTTACGGTTTGTGCGAGAATATTCTATTTATTTATAATACTTGCAGTCAGATTTATAATACGTAAGAAGTCTACTTGTTCCATTCATCGGATGACATCGCGATGTCTAATAATAGTGGTGGAGAACAAAACACATTATTCCAATGCCGCGGTACATTCCGCATTTACTTGCATAAACAATGCATAGTTTACGGATGTATTAGTGTGTGTGTGTATGTGTGAGTGTGTGTGATAAGTAGGTCATAAGAAGGAGAGGTAACGTCCAGAAAAATTCAACGCTAGATATCCGGTATCAATTACCGTCGCGGAGAAATGCGAGTAGGCGCCGTGGCCTCTTTTCGTCAGTCCGCCGCGATCGGTTACAGTATCCGGTGTCCGCCGTACAGTTTCCCTCGTGTCCAGCCAGTGGCTCGGAACCAAGGCTAGGGGACTGGCTTGACAAGCGCTCGAAGTATGTTCGTAGTCTACCAAGCAGGCTCGACATCTCCGCACCATCCATAAATGTTGCCATAACTTTCAACAAATTGACAGCGGTCTAGCTGCCAAGCCATGTTTCCAAAACAACGTGGAAACATGGATTGGCACTCAAATAGCCCTATCGTATATGTTAATTGTCACCTATTAGTTTAAGTACAGCAACAAAGGCAGCCAATTAGTTAAAGTACACCAACAAAGGTCAACGAACTGTATTTAATTTTTTCCGAAAAATAATATAAAAATTAAGCCTTTATAGGTTTATGTCACCAAAACACATAAACTAGCCCATAGATTGACTTGATATTTGTTAACAACATACGGACTAACAACTATTGGACAAAAGAGTGTTTTATATTTTATATTTCGAAGTTCCAACGGAAACGAAAAATAAAAGCCACAGCACAGCGTTAGCACGGGTTCATTAGTTCATATTAAAATTGCCATATACCTTTCTTCCAAACTCTTTTACTTCAGTCTTTATAACTTTTCGTTGCTCTTCGAATTTATTCTTCTTAAGGTAACCAAACACGTAGCGAATATAATTTGCGTTCTTCACATGTCAACATGTCACGTTTCGACCCAAAATATACCTTTACTGAGGAGAGGAAGACGACTCATAGGTCATTCTGCAGTTGCAGTTTCCGATTAGAAAAATTCCTCAATCTGTGATGAGAATTACGAAATGTAAGGTTTCGGAAGATCCATGGACATCTAAAACACTCAATGGCTCGCTGCGTTGACACCATTTAAAAATGTGGAACCCTGTTACCTCACTCACCACTTTAATAATTCCACTTTACCACCTTCTGCGCGACCGTGGTTCTTCCCCGCACGAGCCTGCCCATTCGTGCAACAGCAGTGTTGCATGCCCCTACCACAGTAGAAAAGCTAACTGAGGCCAAAGGTTTTGCGTAAACGCTCCAGTTAGGCTTGCGTTGCCTGCTCAGTATCACGCGTAAAAAGAAACTATGTCGATATAGGTCAATGGCGCGAAAGCAGCGTCCAGTTGGCGGGAAGTGCGCCGTATCATTTTCACCACGTTGCGTTGCGCAATGGCAGTTTGCGAATTTAGGTGTCGGGCGATTTCTGTGCGCTCGTAACCTCGCAGGCTGCGAACGCACTAGCGACGAATGAATAGGGCAACCGAACGATACGATCGCCACATAGTTCTCGACCCTTTCGCGAGATTTTGACCATCAACCAAAATCTACGCACGGTTTCTGTAACGCTAACCATCGTAGAAGTCAACTAATCAGCTGTCAAATGGCTTTTCAAATCAAAATCAAAATCATTTATTCATCGAAATAAGAAACATACATTTCATATATATTTTTTTTTATTTTATGCGAAAAGTTGTCAAACGAGCAGACGGTTCACCTGATGTTAAGTGAATACCGCCACCCATGGGCATCTGCCACACCCGAGGGTTACAGATGCGTTAACAACCTTTTGAAAATTGGGCTCCGGCTACTAGACGAAACGCGAAAGTATTTGTCGTACTTCCACTTTACGCTGGTCTTCTGTGAGGTCGTGGTACCTGCCCGGATGGGCCTGCCCATTCGTGCAACAGCCGAGGCTGCAGCGTGGCCCTACCACCGTAAAATTTCATCTATCGATAGTAATTTTTTTTAATATACCACCGTTTCGAAAGGAGCTTCCTGGTGAAACTCTCTGAGTTGATCAGAATGGTCTTCTTAATGATCAGAATGATCAATTCAAAGAGTTTAACAATCCTTTTGGCAACTCAAATAACATTTGAAAATCTATTTGACATCTGATTCTACGATGATCAGTGTTTCAGATATCGGGCGTTAGTAAAGTAACAAGCCTATATACACCCCACATCTGGGCAAATGCCACCTCTGTACAGAGGGCCACATATCTTCGAAATATTTTTTTATTATTTCCAAAGTATGCAATGCAGGTTTCATTGGATTAAGAGCGAACGCTGCGACAATGAACTATCACGGCACTTAAAGATTCTTATACGTAACGATATTTCAACTATGTAATGAAATGGAGTGCTAGTGGTCGCCCAGAATTTGTTTGCGACTACTCTGTATGTATCTGCGGGGAATACAGTTACGATTTCGCAGATATACGTTAACTGTTAGTCTGTTGTCATATTATGTTTTAATTTTTAACGAATGTGTTATAGCTTTATAGCTATATATATTATATTTTTATACACATACCGTTGTACTTTGAAATAAAATATTTATGTACATTTATATTATTGTTTTATTCTTTTGCCGCAGGATCGATGGGCAAAGCGACGCATACACTTTAAACGCCGACATTGTATCCCAAACAATACGGCGAGTGAATACTGATTGGCTGAATTAAAAATTACAGTTTTCCTTGCCTTGATTTGTAGTTATACTTGTCTTATGTTTCTTAACTAAGTACGGTCGAGGTGGGAATTTGTGCATTTTTGGTGCTAGTTCGTTGGTAAGTTTCTAACTTAATCCCTTTCCGTTTCTAACTTAAAATCCCTGGCGTAAGTGTATTTTCGTCATAATTACATTCCTATTGTGAGTACATCTCTGCCATATTATTTATGTTCTTGACGTACGACCATACCAAGTACGTCTCTGATGCAAGTTCGCCCCTGTCTCAATTCCATTCTTTTCTTAATTTCATCCATGTGCTAAGTGCATAATGGCGTATATTGATGAGTAATCCTATTTTATGAGTCCGTGCATCTCGTAAATCCATCCGTGTAGGAATTCCGACGCACTCCTAAGACTTTATTTGTCGCAAGTACGTCCCTCTCTTAAATGCCTCCCTGTGTTAATTATATTCCTATTATGTGTCCGTCCGTCTCCTAAGTCCATCCGCATAGTGAGTCCGACGGAGACGTGCGTCCAACACTGTTGCAAGTACCGTCCGTCTCTTTACTCCCTGTCGTGAGTCCGTCCGTCTCGTAAGTCCGTCCGAGTTGTGAGCCCGGCGCGGCCGTAAGTCCGTCCCTGTCGCGAGTGCACCCCTGTCTTCAGTCCGTCCGCGTCGTCAGTCCGTCCGGGGCGCGTCAGCGGCCTGCCGCGCGGCTGTTGGGCAAGCGCGTCGCGGTCCGCCGGCGACGCGTGACGCCGCATCCGGCCGCGGCCCTCGGAAGCTACACCCCACCTTCGGCCGGCTCATTGTTTACCCGCCTATAGCGGTGGCGTTCAATTAAAAGGATTTATTGAAAGAGCTTATGTAGGCCAACGGAGCGATGGGTAGAGCGTGCGTTTTTTGCATTCAAGTTTGGAATTAAAAATTCTGTATTCCAAATTTGAACTTGCGCTTATTCAATGTTATATCATTTTATATTTTTATTATTAGTAAAGCTTTTTAGCGAGCATTGCAAAGTGGCTTTATTGACCTGTCTACGAATCTCGTTGCCGTACTATGATTGCCTGCCGATCGATACACGCAATGTTCAATATCAAAATTCCTTATTTATAACTTACTCACTGTCAGCTAATTACGCTATTAACGGTGGTAGGGCCACGCAGCAGCCTCGGCTGCTGCACGAATGGGCAGGCCCGTCCGGGTAAGTACTACGACCTCACAGATGACCAGCGTAAAGTGGAAGTATTACAAATACTTTCGCGTTTCGTCTGGTGAGTGAGGTAGCCGGAGCCCAATTTTCAAAAGGTTGTCAACGCATCTGCAAACCCTCGGGTGTGGCAGATGTCCATGGGCGGCGGTATTCACTTACCATCAGATGAACCGTCTGCTCGTTTGGCGACGTTTCATATATGCCCAGCAGATCGTCGAAAGAAGATTTAGATCTAGATCCCATAGATTTAGGTCGCATGTCTATAAAAAAATAAAAATCTTTTTAATGTATAATTAGCGCAAAACGTCCGAAGCCGGCTCGTTTCTCTAGTATTTAATTTTTATTTTTTATTTTAACAAAGTATCTCTACAGACCCGTGGTCCGTACTCATTTTTGATTAACATGTTTTTTTTTTGTAAATTTTCTTTTTGGGCTAAATGTCCACCTGATGTAAAAAAAACCAAAATCTTTTTTACCTAATTACAAAAAACATATTAAAAATCATAAAGAGAATAATCGGTTGTTTGTTTTACACTCGCTTCATTGACACTCGATTGAAAGACCGGCAGAAATACATATAAAAAGAAAGAAAGAAAAAGATTTATTTGACATAAAACAGACTGACGCACACAACAATCATTTAAAACAATAAAAATTAGACAAAAAAAGACATGAACATAAAACTCCAGTATGCATAATATATTCCCTTTTCATTATAGTACGTCGCGATTCATGCCAAAAAGGACATCACTCAGCAGAATGTTGAACTGTTGAATGAATGTGAAACTGCAACGCTGATTATATATCTTTAATTTGTCACCCGCAGACCGCAGATGTACCGGTAAACCACAGAGTTGGTATCACCCGTTATCGACGGCCGTGTGCATAATACCGAATACTGTGCAATCGGACTCAGACATGATCATTCAAGGCATTCGACACACACGCGATTATCTCTCAAGGACCGCACACGGCACAAGTAGTAGAGTGATTGTTCAGCACGGAAAACAATGACTATTATCTCGATTTTTGCTTCTGTTTCTGTGCGTGCCGTTTTTAATTTACCTTTCAATGAGAGCGATCGGATATCAGTAGCTCTGTATCTAGATATGATGTTCTTACTTGAAAACCTCAACCGCGCAAAGTTTTACAGTACAAATGTCGATGACACTTAATGTTCGCTGCGACCGTTAGATCAACTAATCACGTATTCAAAAAGCTCGTGTGGTCGAAATATGACCTTTTATTGTTATTGACAATTTGCAGAGAACATACTATAGATATTATATGTCTTACCTTTTATGTACTTTTATTAAGTAAGATTACAGCAAGCGAGCTGGACCGTTACCTGATGTTAAGTGATGTGATGTGAGTAGGGCTACGAATGCGTTGCCGCCTTTCAACAAATTGGGCCAGGGCTACCTCACTCACGAGACGAAATGAAGTACGTTTGAATACGAAGAAGTATAACAGTTGTTTGATTGTTTCACCAGGCCGGCCTTCTGTGAGGTCGCGGTACTTCCACGGACGGACCTGTCCATTCGTACCACAGCCAAGACTGCTGCGTGGCCCTACCTCAGTCAAGCTTACAAATCGTTCAGTACCATATTGAGTACAGTTTAATTTCTTTTATATCATACTAATCTCACCGAAAGCTATTGACCAAAAAAAATAGAAATTAACCTGTCTGCGTTAGAAACGGTACTGTTTTATATTTATTTATTTTTCTTTCATACACTCGTGTTTTCAGATCACGCCAAGGTTGTCTGCAGTACAATTAGGTCTTGCTTTAATTTAAATTAAACGTTTCAATGTAATATATAGCTTACTTAATGCTTCGAAAATTTAATGGCCCGCACCTAATTATAACAGTTTATTTAAAGTATTATAATCACCTTGTAGGTACTCGTATATATACGACGATTTTGAAATGTTTTATTGCGCATTAAAATTACAATACGTTCTACTGACTATACTATATTTACTTATATACTACATTTACTTTACCAAATATTTCGTGTCGGTAGGATGTACCCGAAACATCCAATTTAGGCATCTTTGTAATTTAATCCATAAAGATCATGTACCATATAAGAAATTACTTATATATTTTTACTAAATGGGAGAAGTTAGAAAGCGAGCAGGTGGTTCACGTGACGTTAAGGCACTGGTTCCAAAAGTGTTGCGAGGTTCCGACCTTTAAGAGTGAGCCGCGGTTACCTCACTCACCAGACGAGTGAGTATCATGTCACACACACCTGACAAACTAATATGTGACGGTATCAGAAAATAAGCAGGTATGTGTAATGGTCTTACGTACAGCTCTTTTAATTCTGGCCCTCTTATCGAACAACGCTACTAGTCGACGAGATGACGAGAGTCGCACTTAAAGTAAATTAAAGTAAAAACTAATTAATGTGACCCAGATAAAGGTGTCCTCTGTACAGATCGTACTGGGACATAGTTTGCGCGACCCACTGCGGATTGGCGGACTTCGCATATCTTCGAATGATTTTTTGTTATTATCATACACGATGTTTTCCTCCACCGCTGAGCACGTGGTTTTGCTTACTTACTTAACATTGCAATTGATAATTTCATTAGTGCCGGCACCGGGATATCAACTCGAGTGTAAAAGTGAGAAGCACGGTCACCGAGCTATCACGGTTCGTGTCGCGATTAAATCCACATTATATATTACTAGCTGCTGCCCACGACTACGTCTGCGTACAGTACGCTTAAGGCGTAGAAAGACAGATATACATGAAATATGTATATAAATTATAGCCTATATCTTGTGAAAGAGTAACAAACATCCATCCATACATACAAACTTTCGCCTTTATAATATTAGTAAGGATTAACGATGATAACACACATCGCAACTTCAGCATCCTAATCTTGAGCTACGTCGGTTACCTTTGTTCTACTGCGGATATCTTCGTTACGAACTCTACCACGCAGAGGAATGGGACCTACTACTATCTGAGGGACTAAGCTTCCTCATACGGCCAGTAGTGAAGACCCACGACTTTTGCCTTCAAACAATGAGGGGTATCAAACGAGAAGATACGAAGTCTCTCGAGGCCAACTTAGTCACATAAAGGGGTAAAAAAATGTACGTTTTATCTCAATCGGAACGCCATCCGGCTTTTCATCCAACAGTGGATTTGCTACCCAATATTGTAGTTCTGCTAAGTTGCCAGACCAATGTGTAAGATCGCAGTATGTGCAAAGCTATATTTTAAACACTAAATAGGATACGTGAGTCACCGGCAGTCCTTTTATATTTAAAAGCCAAATCAGTGAGGTCAGTTTTAGCTCCAAAGGAATGAAGTAATTCACAAAAAAGAAATCTTGTCTATTCTTCCGTAGACGAAACGTACAGATAATATACGACGTACGGAATTGTTTAAAAAACACACTCGACGCAAATTTATGGCAGGTTTCACTGGATTTCAAAGAAGAATCATTTTAAATGAAGGTTTTAAATAGCCGTGCTTACAATGCCGACATGAGTGCATAGGATTTATTTTTACGAAACGCATTAGGTTTGCTGATTTTCCTCATGTATATGCAAATGATGCTTGCTTATATAAGGCTTGTAAGGCAAAGTGCGATGGCGTCTAAAACTTAGTTGCGGTTAAAAACAGTAAGCAATTGTAAATTTTTAAACAACAAAGAACCCGACTGCTTTAAAAATAGCTAACACTTATTATACTATTTTTGCTATGTCACTCCAAACTGAGACGAAAGCAATGACAGCTCATATTATGATGAAATCTCTCGAAAGCATTCGTCCAGCCTAAAAGCTGCGGAGCCAGCCAAAGAATTAGACATACATACATCTACACACTCGAAAAACATTACCCTGCTTCGACAGTGGGGTAAACAAACAGCTTAGATAAAGAGTGAACAATGTCTTTTTTATGTGACAAAGTGGCAAACGAGCTGACGTTTCACCTGATGATAATGATAACCGCCGTACTATTCGTGCAATAGTTAACACCATTGCGTGGCCCTACCACACTTTTAATTAAATAATACCCCATTTTCAAAATCCGACCATAATTCTCCATTCTTTATATATTACAACACGCTGAAGCTATATTTTACACTTGTTTACTTCGGTTGCGCCATCGACGTCTGCTGTTGCATTAATGGGCAGGTTCGTCTAGAGATATTTTTATGTGCTTAATGTATTAAACACATTATAACAGGCCTTTTTAACACGCTTTTATCATTTTCACCTCTATGTGTGTGTGAATGAGACGGAATCTTTAAGCGTGATTTCGCCCCACTTTGAACGGATCAGATCAGATTTAAATCAAACTTGAGCCATGACAATGCAATAATTTAAATAGATTTTTCCCATTATCCTGATAGGTCAGTTCATGGTCAAGACCTTCAGGCTATCTAGCTATTTTCCAAATCCGATGCCCATTAGTATCCTTGGACCAAGTAGGTACACATTTAACAAATACAAAAAACACGCTTTTATACTTACCAGAAAAATAAAATAAAATATAGAAAATAAATATTAGTTAAACAAAAACGAAAAGAAATCCCCGCGCTTTTCTACCATATTATTTTTTTGATAATCCCACTATTCATAATTTGAATTTATTGAAAATATTTTCTTCTTTTTACTTCGGTTATCAACAAAATCTTGTTTTTTTTTTCTGTCGTAGAGATTGCGTGCTTGAAGAAAAATATTCATTATCTTTGACACGTCTAAACATACAATATTTAGGTTGATGTTGAAAGAAGTGTTAGATTTCGATGACCAATTATAAAACATTCAATATTAGGTACTACTTAATCAAAGAAGTTGTCAATGTTTCTTTGACTTTGAATTAAGTTATTCGTGGTGTATTGAGATTTCAAATTAATCAATATGATTGATGTGTCTTTGACTTTGAATTAGGTTATTAGTGTGAACTATGGGTAATGTATTTTGGCGGGAGCGTGCTCGGCGTCGGTCACGATTAGGCGGCATGTCTAATCGTGACGGCTCTATTGGCTTACTGGACTACGGAAACGTGTTTCGTATTTGTGTACTTACACGACATGTCACGATGCATGCACATGTCACGCGACATGACTGTGTCGACGGTGCATACGAAGTGTACGTTTTTTAAGTTGTGTCATTGTTTTCATTCCATCGAGGCACCATCCTCGTCTTTGACTTTAACTTGTGAGAGATGGATAGATAAAGCTTATCCATAAGGCGCTTATATATAAGATTACTTACCCGCAAAACAGTGACAGCGGTGGGTCCGTCGCAGAACTGTGCATCTATCAGAGACGTGTCTGTGACAAAGATTATAAAAGCAGGAACGATATACAGATAATCAATAGAGGTCTAGCTACCAGAGCGAAATCGCTCTTGACAAAAACTCGAAAGAAAGCAACTTATATTAATTAGCTCACTGTCACCAACGCGAAAAGAACGTTTCAGTTTTAATTTCGCGCCCATTTTTCGCGCGTAATGTAACGGAATCGACAGTTTTTTTTTTTCGTTCAATGTAATAGATCACAATCTAGTTTCGGAAACTGCCGAATAGAAACTTTCGCGACAACGGTTTCTTTCTTTTTACGCCTTTATTTTGTTTTATTTTAAATACAAAAAAGCTACGTTTTTAAACGGAAACATCACCCGGGACCGACGGAGCGTTGCGGGGGTGATACATACCTACTTTAGACGAGATTTCTATTCATCATTCGAACTTTTTCGGGCTTCACGGTGAATATTATTATAATGAGATCGCTCGCGTTTTTTAGGATTCCGTACCCAAAGGGTAAAACGGGACCCTATTACTAAGACTCCGCTGTCTATGTGTCTGTCTGTCCGTCTGTCATTAGGCTGTATCTCATAAACCGTGATAGATAGTTGAAATTTGATTTGAAACAGGTTATGCATTTCTACTGCCCCTATAATAACAATTATACCAAACAAACTAATTATACTAAACTAACAGAATAAAATATATTTAAACGAGGCTTCCATATTATCCATATAGTATGGAATAATTAATCGTAATATTCCATATAGTCATGATTTTTTGTCGTTTTTATAGATAACGGAAAGTTACCCTTCGTGTGAGGGTCCGACTCGCACTTGGCCGGTTTTTTCTTTGTTTTGAACCACATGAAAATATTCCTCACTTTCACGGCACTACATTCTATGTGAAGTCAATAGCAACATCGATTTACCAGGCAACTCAGATAGTTTTGTGAAAAAAAAGTTTAAATGTATGAGGCGCTGGCTGATTACAATTATCTTAAAAAATTTCATTATTTAAAAGTAAACAAAAACACTTCGAATTTTAAATATCCCTCCACATTTTTTGAGTGACCCGCGTATCGCGATCATCGAAATGCAAATGTTTTCTTTCTACCATTGCCTATAAATCGTTATGATGTCTTCTTTATTGTCTTCGTCAGATTAAACTTTAATATAATCTTAGTAGATATAGAGATATCTACTCTATATCTACTAAGATTATCTACTAAGTTTAAATTGATAGAGATCAAGAAAGTACTACCGCCATAGCTGCTTAGACTGTTTGGAATAAAAATATGATCCTCTAAGTCAGCGCCGAAGTGCGCGAAAATGCTGTATGGTATGGTAGCAATGCTTGCACTATCGGTACTAGATAGCTGATAAACATTCTTAAACTCACTTTTCTTTTGTAAATAAATACATATAATATATGTATATAATATATAAACACCCAGACACTGGAAAAACACTATGTTCATCACACAATATTTATCCAGTAGTGGAGATCGAACCCACACTCTCCGGCGCAGAAGCTACCTAGGTTAAAATTTTTAATGCTAATAGAGTTTATTGAAGTTGGTTCTTTCTGTTTTTTGTTAATATTACGTTCTAATGATATTCGATGAAATTCACAATTCCTTTGCTTTACAAAATTTCTCATTCGAAATCGTAGGTATATGATAGAAATTAAAAAAAAATTACCACGTGCGAAGGGAGAAATATGATCGGCCAAGATGTGTTTCTCGGTTTTGCTGAGCTATATTACCGATATACTTGAAATGTGCAAGGATTCGCGAGCATAGACAAAGGTAAACGAACCTGGAATATATCACGAAGCAAGAGCTGTCGTGGAGACGGGTAAAGGTACGAGTGGTGGGGCTCCCTCCCGGATAGATACATATTAAGCGGTTCCACGCGAGCGGCCACCACCTGACGTTTCACAGTCGGTGTGCCCACGCCTAAATTACCTGGATCCGGCCTGGATGACTCACGAGCCTCCCGCAGCTTAAAGCTCACGCGATTCTGCACCCTATCGCACGCGATACGCTTCGAATAAGATGACATTTCGCTCGAACCGCTCGCAGTCACCCTTTAGTGGGCGCCGTGTGGTTTGTAGACCATGACGAGCGTAAACATTTTGATGCGTGCGTTTCCTTGCAATAATTACTATTCCATTAAATACAAAAGCGAAATAGAAGAGTGCAATCGATAAGATACAGTTGAAAGACGATTAGGGGCATTGACCTTGTTCATCATGCCATAAAATCTATCTCCTAATAAGAGCGTACGTACAATCCGTGTAAGGCCTTTTTTTCGGCGATGTTTTTAATCGCTTTCATTAAATCTGCTAAGGCCGCATTGTATTGGCAGTTTTAAAGCAATTTGCATAGGCAAAAGCAATATAGGTGAATAATTTATTGACTAACTATATGGTTTAATTTGGAGAAGTAATTTGGTATGTACATATATTTTGATATTAACATAAACCTATATGGATAATAATTTTGCTGCGTCCGCCAGTGATTAAAAAAAACTCAAGTATAACCCCATTTGTACTACTGTTTACCTTATCATAAATGTCAATGTTTTCATCTACGAAAACCAAACACTGTGACGGCCGGATTAGTTTTACATTCATTTTCCTCCTAGTACAAATGCAGCCTTATGTATTCTGTCGAGCTCTTTATCACCGACTTAGCAACACGTTACAGCCAGTTAGAGTAACGGCCATGTGTGTTATTCAACGGAATTGTGCTTTCTCGCGCCTATTTTGTTACCTTAGGCAGTATCAATGTGTATGGAGTTAATGGAACTCTTCAGTGTCATGTCTCAATTTGTGCAGTACACGAAATCATTTCAAAATTCATCTATTTTGCTTCATTCAAATTGCAAATCACGAAGTCAGTTCAAAAATCAACTGATACACAAATTATTGTTTTTCGAGGTGAAATAATACTTTTCCTTGTATTGTGCACCGAAAAGTTTTGTATTATATAATAAAAATAAAACATCTATTGTGTGTGCATAAGGTGTAAAGCTTACGGGTAAAAAATATCAAACGCAGCGGAGAGCTAGCCGCTAAATTGGCGGGAAATGCGACTAACAATGGCGCCTGGTGGTCGTGAACAGCTATTGTGTTATCTCATGTGGGCCACATGCATTTTTGACGAAAATATCACAAATTAATTTTAACCATCCCAGTACTACCAGGTATATTGCCGAGTTCACAGTTATTTTTTCCAATAGGTAACTTATTTTGTTCATTTCATTTTGCTTAATTACGTGTGCCGAGCTAAAAACTATGAAAAGTTTTGTTTTAATGTTTATGTACAGTTTCAAAAGAGTGAGGAGTGTTTCACACAAATGTTGATACACATTATTGTTTCATTACAAAAACCTGCGTGTCCTTTAATGTTGGTAGAGAATTTCAAAATCTGTAATCAACGTTTTTTTAAACATTTTAAATGAATAAGACAAAAACTGCACTCGAAAGACAAACCCAATAATGTCAGCATCAAATTAACAGATTAAAATAGTAATTAGCGGACAGTACGTAAGTGCAAGTCAATCTTCAGTCAAGGAGAGAGTGTTTTCGAGTATTTCTTTTTTTTTTTTAATCTAAATTAACTGCTTTGGCAGACACTATCCATCTTATCCGACACAGATTGCGTCGCCGCTTAGCGTTTCCCGCGAGCGAGTAGGAAGGGAATGCCGTGCATCTCTGTAAATCTCGTTTTAATTGTGCGATTGTACTAAGTTTCCCTTCCGCGAATCGTTACACCTCAAGGCGTTTTTTCTTATCTCACACTTATTGTTTGTTGGCCTGTTACAAAAGTACATTTCGTCGGATTGCGTTCGTGTGACTTCACCTAATAATGAGGGCTTCGGCATTTTGTGCAGAGTTTAAACTCAAAATGGTTTATTCTGTTATCTTCTTCGTATGGATGTTCTTCGTGGTGGGCTGGGTCGCTTGATATAGTCTTACAATATTATGTATCCGTTTTCCTAACTTATTAAACTAATCTTACAATACTAAATATTTGAACTTTGATCATCTGATTTCAGGGTATAGGCCTGACGCCGGTTAAGCCTGCAATTCCCTGCATTAAACATGCATTTACTTATTTGGAGAGGTTTTACTGTGCGTACGTAATGTATGGTTATTATTGACCATCTTCAGTTTTTTTTTACATATGTAATGTCTCTTTGCGTTGTTTCGATCTTCTTTTTGATACCTGAGATCGATAACCGTATAGCGGGCATCTGCCTGAGCATAAGGGAAGATATCAAACGAAAACCCAAAACCCTAAAATGGCTGGCCCAACTAAAGCTACAGAGAGGAAGGGGCAGAAAGATAAAGAGTGACCGAGGAGAGAGGGCTCATTAGTTCGCGGTGGAGTCAGTGCGAGACCTCCACACACCCTGATGAAGGACCTCTGATAGGTCCAAAACTAGTACTTACTAGTGTACGTACTCACGTCCTTACGTCCAATTAGTATTGGACGTGAGTTCGGCCATTCTTTTTTTATGTGAGAAAGTGACAATTGAACCGGCGGTTTACCTGATTTTATGTGATTGCCGTCTGAACATCGACATTTGCAACACCCGTAGGGTTGCAAATGCGTTGCCCCCTCTTACTAAAGTGGACCCTGGCTACCTCACTCACAAGACGAAACGCAGAAATGCTACACTTCTGCTTCTGTGAGGTCGTGGTATTAAACCGGACGGACCTGCCCATTCGTGTAACAACGAACACTGTTGAATAGCCCTACAACCTATATCCATTCTGCCATTCTATTATTTCGTTAATATTCAACTAATCTATTTCGATATGGGTGTCACACCGGTACATGAGATTTCATATGCTCTATAACACAGGATTATAAACAACAAAATATTCAACACGCATCCTTCCAGCTTTCTTTGGCACCTAACATATTTATCTGAAACCCGATTGGCCACTTCGTCTGGCGCAATTCTTAGAGGCTTTCCAGGAAACTGGCTTTAGTCCGCTTTCTTTCGCTATCGAAACTGTTGGCGATACGCTACGTCATTATGATACGCCAGTGCTGGAAACCCACCATTTTGCAATGAACCTATGAAGAAAGACATTCGTAGTTACAAACCTTGCGTCGCAATTATTAATCTGTGAAATCTCCGTCTCCGAGATCGAATCAACACTAATTAGTTGTTGATTGCATTGGGATTTATAAACCTAATATAATGTATCTCTCAAATCTTTTGTCACAAGGACCTCGAAATTAATACAATTAACGGTTTATTTTATACCATAAGTAGGATTTGGTGTATAAGAGGTCTTATTCTGTTCAACAAAAAAGGTGGAATTTGCCTGGTCTGGTCCATGAACGCTGCAAAGTAATTGGAACGTCTAGAACTAATATTATTAATGAAAGCGATGAATCCGTTTAAATATTTTCGTTTAATAAACCAATACCGTTCCAATATCAGTAAGTCATCTTTAATGTTCATCGTAAAGAATGTAAAATTAGAACGTGATTACACATTTTAAAATGCAATTCTATAAAGTGATAGTAATATTTGTACCTTCAAAACTACTTACAACTTGTATGATGGTACAGGAAAACTTTATGCTTGATCAGATTGTGTACAATAAATGGAAAATACATTCCAGAGATACGTTGAATCCGACAAAAGTACTCTGTAAACATAAAGGGCCTGCCCAGCAGTCGGACCAGTATGTTTTAGTCGAGTCTTTTATTTTTCGTCTGAGCCTAAATTAAAACTGGCTGAGCAGAGACTTTAGTAATAAATCCCAAATAATAATGTTATTTTATATATAGGTATTGTGTATAATAAAAATAAAACTACTACAAGTAACTAATGATGCCTAGAGAGCCTCCAAAAAGGGTATTTCAAAGAAAAAGTTATGACGAAAATGATGACGACACGGCCTTTCAGTTGCAAATTAACGACTCATTATCTCTTTATAATTATCGTTATGCTGAAGCATCTAATAGGTTAACGGAGTTCGCTACAAAACTAGCAGTTAAACAATTTCGTTTTTAACGTTGATCAACCGATTGGGAAACGGTAAGAACCATTATGAAGTTTAATTGAAGAAAAGTTTGTGCGTGTAAACTTTACGCGCGATTGAAGTAAAAACTTCTTTGGCGTTGACGGCATATATCACTGAAATGATTAAATATTTAGTAATGTCATAAGTATATGTCATATTTTTAAAATATGACATATACTTATGATGTTACTTCCATCAGAAAAAGCGTTACTTCCGTCAGAAAAAATCTGAGTTACTCTCTAGTCGCGCCTAAAGAAGTTTTACTTCAAAAATCTTTCGCTCGCCGATTTGTCCGCTTTGCGTTCATCCATGCGGAGAATAGTTAATCAGACGGGCATTTGTCATAATCGGCTCGCGATTAGTTCAAATCCCAGTGGGGACTGAAAACTGCGAGGTGACAAGCCTGTCATTGACACGGTTTGCCTTTTATCCATCACTAGCTGTGTTTGTTAACTTCATAAAAACTTCCTACGAGAGACGCCGGCTAAAAGCTTTTTTATAGAAGAAAATTTATAAGTTATAATAAGTTAATCGATAATCGCCGCTCATTGACATTCGCAACAGCTGTTGGGTTGCGGACGCGTTGCCACCTTTTAATAAAGTGTACGGCTGCCTCACTCACCAAACGAAACGCAGAAGTATGATAATAACACTTCCAATTCAGGCGCGCGCCGCTCTTCTGTGAGGTCGTGGTTACCCGGATAGACCTGCCCATTCGTGCAGCAGCCAAGAAGTTTTGCGCGGCACTGCCGCCGTAAAGGCTGGCTGGTTACCTCAAAGAATTCCGCTACTCATTCTGCCATTTTATTAAAGGCGGGACGAGATATTCACTAAACAGAACGCAAAAGTATCAGCCGCATCCAGTTTACGCTCGAGCGGTACTGACCCAGGAGATTGGCGATTCATGCAACAGTAGCTACTGCATGGCTCTATTGTTGTATAGTGACACTTGTTGCATGTGTACACGAAAATATATCGATAATTTATTGGGCCATACCAACCGCTA